CCCTGTCAATGGAGAACAACCTCCTCCAGCTATGATTTTTACTGTTTATTTTATTTTTGTAGTCTACTCTCAAAATTCCCAGATGACAGAGCATGTGTTAGCTTTCCATGCACCTAATGAACAATACTGCTATGAAGTTCCCCTGAAACGGTTTTGATTTTATTTCTCTAACTTCATCCCACTCTTCTTAGTTTCTCCCCTTGCAACACCCAAACTAATTCCTTTCCCCTGGGTGTTTACAGCCTTCATTATCTCTGGAATGACCTCAAGTAACAGACAGGGCAACATCAAGGGATATTAACAGAACATCCCTGAGATAAGGATCCTGGATAAGTCTGTACTTAAAACAAATCCCAAAAAGAAAGGATAATTAAAATAGTAGTAGGGTAGAAGCCAAACTGCTCAGGAGTTTCCTTATGCCGTACCTATACCAACAGGTTTACACTTGAGCCTTATATATATTATTATGATAAACAGAATAGACCAGCCTTCCAGAAATGCCAACTTTATTGCTGATAATTCTGGATGTTGTAGGCTCTGCTCTGGCAGGGGGGGAGAGGAAGAAGAGGGGCCTTTGCAACTGAGCTACAGAACTACTACTCTGCAGTAGTAGTAGTAGAAATCAGCAGTTTCATAAACGCCTTACATTGTCCAGCTACAGGAGGGGAACAAAGACTCACAAAACATAAGAATCACCAGAAATTCCACACCCAAAAAGAATAAAGATTTCAACAGATTAGGTAGATCAAAGTGATGGCAGTTTAAAAATTGATAAAAGAAGAGTTGCTAGCAAAAAGGCAGTGTTAAAACTTTCTCCATGCAGTAATATGACAACACTGTTCTTCAATATTTGCAGGTTTCTTTATACATCTGTTTAGATTAAGAAGAATATCCTTCTAAAAAATATGTCAGTAAGCAGGTACAACAAGAGGGTCAACTGCCATACTTCTGCTTTGCTCATCTCAGCTCACAGCATTTGTTTAGTTATAATCCTTCATATAGGAAGTTTATTTATGCAGACAGGGGATTACTGGAATTCTACAGGATTAGTCAATCTAAAGCATTCTCATCACATTAATTTTAGCATCAGAATTACACTGCCTGGATGGAGAGTCAATGCCTAGAGTAAATATTTGTGCTGAGGAAGGTTAAACAGATTAGCCAAGACGAGGCCAGGGTGCTCTGCTTATTTACTCAGAAACTTTAATATTGCTCTTCATCATTTAGGAAGCCTAGCTTAAAAGAAAAACCACACACAACAGCAAACCAAACATACTTACCCAACCTGAAGTGAGACAGCACCAAGACTTCTGTCATCTTCAGCCCGGGTACACACCTGAAAGCTACACACTGAATCGCAAATCTCACAATCCTGGACCTTATTGTGGGAAACGAGCAGAAAAAGAGAGCTTCCATACAAGCTTGCTGCTCTGAGTTTCAGCTGCACCAGGAAACGGGATAAACAAAATCTCCCACCCTTCACCCCGCTCCAGGTTCTATTCAAAAGCAAGATGGAAATAATTGTGTGAAAACCATTTGCAGTTCAGTTCTAATTTTACGATGTAAAGAGGCAGTTATGCACAAGCTTGTTTGAAGCTAGATTGCGCCCACAAGTATCACAGTGCCCTCAGGAGCACCACAGCTCTGTTTCCAACAAAATCAATGATAAACTCCCCCCCTCCCCCCCCGTTATAGGCAGAGCATTGTGAAACTCATTCCAATTCCTGATCCCACCTGGTATATCCTCCAAGCTCACAGTGCTACTTTTCTACAGCACACCAAGTGCCTGATCCAAAGCTCCTTCACTGCCAATAAACTTTGGATCAGACTCTCAAGGAACAGTAGTTAAGCATTATAGACAGGAAGCTCAGGCTGAAGTGTTTGATTTCACTGTTGGATACACGTAGATTAAAAGCAAAACAATAAGCAGTTTAAGAAGAGACTGCTTGTGTAGCAGCAGTTACAAACTTAGCACAAGCTAAGAATTCAAGGAAGAACAGGAAGGCACCAAGAGTTTATATTTCAGTCCATTTGTGCAGTTTCAACTTCTGAATCAATCTTATTTAAAAATACAGATGTTACAAAGTTTGCTATTAATGTACCAGGAAAACGAGACTTGAGTCTCAGCTGAATGCCTCTGCAGGAAACTACTCCCTCTCTCTGGCTTCCCACCCTCTGCTACTGTGTGCTATCCACCCCCATTGAGTTTTGTGTGTCTTGTTTACTGAACTCTCAAAGAAACTCATGGAGAAGTTTTGGACACTTTGGAAGAAGAAAAAGTGCCTCCACCCAAACACCATTTACTCTGAGCAGATGTAACATTCCTAAGAAGCTCTCAGCTGATTGCCTTTGAAGTCTGGGAAGGAAAAAAAAAAAAAGAAAAAAAAAAAGCTGAACCGTGAAAGCTACATTTCTTCCCTTAAAAGTCTCCAGGAACTCTTCAGAAAAATAAAAAGTTCTCCAGATCCTTATCTCATGCTATTTTTGAGAGGCTTTTGTTTTGTTTCTTTGCTTTTGTAATCTTTTGAATTAAAAAAAAAAAACAACTTTCAGAGATAGCACACGCGTGCAAGTAGATCATTCATCCTGCCAGATTTCAGTTGCGCAGGTGTCCAGGGAGAGCACAGCTCAACCACAACTGCAGAACCAGGTGTGACGAAAAAGATTTTATGGAAGACAGCTTGCAAGAAGAAGTTTCAGAAACATAACGCATAGATCCAAAGTGAATCCCATCCACAAGCACCGCTAGTGCAAGTCCCCCTTGGGACAGACTTTGGCCCTAAACAGCAGCTAAAAGGCACACCGACTTACACACCAACACCCTTCGTTTCAACAGCCAGTCTGGAGTCACGTTGTGGCCTCTCACGCTGCCATAGTTGGAAATATATTATATATTTCAGAAAACCCAGCTTATGCTTATCCTGAAATTGTCGGTGATGACTAAATTAATGTTAACATGACAAGGAGGAGAGCCTACTTTTCCTGTTTGACCTTTCTCCGTCTGCTGCCACGTCCTCAGCATTCCTCTCCTCCTCTCCCAAGCTCAGCTCCTCCTCAGTTAGGCTGCCCTATTAACCTTCACCACACTCCACCCATCCAAATTTGCACATTATTAAGCATCCAAAGCCTTTTGTTAAAGGTCCTTAAACAAAATCATAGCTGCTGCATTTCCTGGCAAGAGGTGCCTTATACCCTGCAATCATTTAGGGCAGCTTTAATAAGCTCATTTCTCCCAAACGCAAAAACAGCACACCAGACAGACAAATTCAAGGACATGTCCTTTCCTGAATTTCACAGAGCAAGATAAGCTCATGAGCCTCATGCTTTGCTTGCTTTATCTCAACTAAGAGGTTTCCCCCATTTTCCTACCCAGTGAAAAACCTAATCATTTACCACTGAGGCATGGAACAGGTTAAAGTTTCTTCTGTCTTGTCTCAGCTCCCTTTGCAGATTAGGGGAAAACAATGAAGTCTCCGCACTTTGCGATATTGCTAATGCTTCCTGTGGGGATAGCAGCGCCTGCTGCAAAGAGGATTATGATTACAGTTTAAGAGGAGCATGCACTATACTGCCGCAAGAGGCACAGACTTATCAGGAAAGAAACCAAGCTGCCCCCAAACTATGCACGCGGGACTCCTGCCTGCCTGCCTTCACTTCTGGCCGATGGCTCTGCCACAGATCACACACCCGCTTATCAGGAGTGATAAAGCGGCAGTTGAGCTTGCAGGGGGTGCATGCGGGGAAATAAATGGGTAACACTGTGCAAGCAACTTGCATACATTCACCATCAGAACACAGAGTAATGTTTACAGACCATCCCACCACATTCATCTGTATTAAAAGATAGAGCTGGCTGGGGCACATCTCAGAGCAGAGGGGATGCACAGTCCTAGCACAGTTAGGAAATCCAGTTGGTGGAGCTGTGCTAGCTGTGGTAACACTGGCTGGCCTAATGCATGCAGGATTGCCAATGCTTAAAAAAACAAAAACAAAAAAATCAGTTAGATCTGCCTTGAACAGAGAGGCAGCTCTGAAGTGCAGCTTCAAGTGATGGGTGAAGTGTTTCCATCAGACCTTTCAGCCTTACGGTTGAGCAGAGAGCTGACTCAATTGGAACAAGAGTAAGAAATTGCCTCTGAGTGTTCATAAGACATACTGCCCATCACTCTGGGCTGTCAAAGGTACTATCAGCAAGAGAGCAGCTTACTCACACTCGTATATTTCTACTAGCCATTACCAAACAGACACTGCACAATTTCTTTTTTGTAATACCTAGAGCTTCAGCCAAACCAGCCATCACAAATTCCTTGCCTTCAAGGAGTACTTGGCCTAAGTTGCAGGATGCACCCACCAGCTAATGCCCCTATCAGCCTGACATTTCTTCCTCTAATAGTTTCATGGTTCAGAACAAGAGAACTCAAGCTCTGATACTGGCTCAAGTCTCACATTTAGGGTAGAAACATCCTGCTGATGTGACACAGGATTTTTTACAGCATCACCATCATTGGTTTTCTCCAAGTCATTTGTGCAATTGATGCAAACTGAAAGTTCACCTACATTCTCCTTACCCCCAGTTCTGTTCAGAGGGGTTTAATAGCTCCCTAGCTGCTTGTTAGTGACTAGAACAGAGAATAGTGGCATTATGGCATGACCCCCTGGATTTTTACAGGTGTAAAAAATCACTGAGCTTCACCCACCCCAGGCCCTTCCCTGAGCGGCACTATCTCATTACACAGTGCTGTTCCAAGCAGTCCTTACCACCTCCCACCACACAGCAGGAAAGCCACAAACCAAACCCTCCAACTAATCACAATACTGAATAGAGTAACATTCATTATTAAGATGCTCACGAGGCTCTTCCATGAAAGGCTGCATGCCTTAAACTAAGCTGTTTGGCTCCTGCAGAGGGCTAGGGTCTCTTAGACATGGTGAAAGCTGGATGCTCTTAATTAGCCAAAACAAACCTTGTGCTGGTACAGTTGACGCAGCTCTCTACTAACCTTCACTGCTGGGTGCCGAACTCTGCTGGGTTCCTACTCTCTCCACTTTTCCTTACTATTAATCTCTGTGGAAGAGAAGAAGAAAAAGAAATAGAGCTGAAAGATAGAAGATTAGGCTGGTTTAAGATCTCTGAAAACACTACACAAACTAAAACAGGAACTTTCCCGTTAGTCTTCAACAAACTCGCACTTTAAGGGACACGCAGAGATCTTAATTTCAAATCACTGAATACTTTCGACGCTTTGCCATTCATTAGGAACAAAGGGGACAGAGATTTTAGCAGTAATAAATGAAATAAAGCACTGTCCTTCAAATCCTAATCAAGCCATCACATGGGCTCTGAGCCCTGGGAAACGCAAAACTTGTCTGTTTTTCGACTTCACATCCTGAGAACAAAAGTTGATGTAACAAGCTATGAAAGGAAACTTCACACCTCAGAGGAGACCTCCTGCTTTATCGTAATAAGGGCCTATCAGACAGTCACTGTAAATGCTTTGAAGAATATCTGTCGTAAGACAATTGCTGTGATTATTTGATAACAGGTTCTGCATAAGGTGGCTAAGAGAGGAAAAGCAACCTTAGCAAAGACGACCAACACAAAAGACAGAAGCAGAAAAACAATCAAAAAATAAATTCATAGAGATGAGGGCTGAATGAGTAGGCTTAAGAACAAATAAATTGATAAAGTGGATTTACATCCAGATAAAGGTGCCTCATCATCACCTCTGCAGACAAGTCTTCTGCATATTGACAACATGGATACTGACCTGCATCAGCAGAGTCAGGATAAGCTTTCCACACATTAAATCTAGTCAATGTGCCTCTGCTCCTTCCAGCCTCAACAGCTCACATAGAGTCCTTGACTGACAGCGGCATTCATCATCTTGCCTATTATAGAGACCTTTGATGTCCTCTCCAAAGCAGACTCATTCACAGGCTGGGCTGTTGACTTAAAACAAAGGAAAAGCAAAGAGGAAGCACATCACTTTGCCAGGCTACCATCATCAGTGATGCAGATGGAAGAATGTTTAGCAAAGGGCAGCTCTCAAACTACAGGCAGGACCAGTCAAAACTGCTATCCAAGAGGACGGTGAAAGCAGGGGATCACAAGCAGATGTATAAGTCAACTTTAACACCGCCTTCCTGTTTGCAAAGGCAGGGCCAAGCCTGCCAAAGCTCTGCCAAAACTCTATCTTACGCGATATTCAACGTTAGGCATAAGTTATTTAGATGGCTAGATGTCTGGACTTTCAGACCAGACCCACAAAAAAATTAGCTTGCAGCCAAATTAATCAGGAGATGCAAGAACAAGTCACTTTAAAACAAGGCATTTTCAAAATGCAGGCCTTACTATCAAAGGCAGATTCATTTTATAACCTGCATGAAGACTCACCAACTCATTCCTCATGGGTCATACCTAGCATACCAACAATCAAATCCAACTGGACTGAACTGACCGCATCACACTGAAGTGCTCCACGCTTCTGTAGCCTAATGAGCCTCCTTACCTGAAGGAGGCTTAACATACTGAACACAAAACTGAGGAGCGCTTGCTGCCCTGCACAGGCATCTCTCTCTCGCTGCCTGTATAGATTTTTGGTTATCAGCTTTCAGAATGTAATTTATACATTTGTAAAACCAATCAGCAGCTCTAAGCTCTTACAAAAGGAAATGAAAGATATTACTGTCAAACATCCATCAGATCTAGAGGCCTAGGCGAATGTCAGACATTAAAGAAATTAAAATGCTGCATTTGAGATAGGGATGGGAAGAGCACATACTATTTTGAAAGGCTCTGGTTAAAGCTCTCTCAGTATCAAAATTCAATTTCTTTCAGGTTTTTACAAACAACAGCCTTGAGCTGAATGCTGCCAGCCAGCCTGCAGCCTTTGAGGAGATTAGGTTATTACCAGCCAACTATGAGAAATTAAAATCCAGTATTAATCCTAACTCCCATTTAACCAAATCTTCATTGTGCAGGGAAAGCTGGCTGTGCAAGAATTTGTCTGCACGTTCATTCTGCCACGCGCAATTATCTGCGTCACAAACACCAGACATTAAACCTCACGTATATGTGAGAAATACATCCTGACCTCGGTTTCCAGAAAATCCCAATAAAGGAGAAAGATCGGAGGTAGGGAAAAGAATAGGCCAAGCTGGAACGATTTGTGGGAGATGATGGGAATGGGACAGGTTCCAGTCAAAAAGATTTTAGCAGCCAGCGAGTGGAGATTTCGACTCTGGCTTGGAAGAAAGCCGTATGCATAGGCCAAATAACATGGACATCTGTGACCCTGGCCCCATAATGTTTCAGTGATCCTGCCAGTATCAAATCATCAATACCAAACAGCTCAGGTCATAACCATCAGGACTGCAGGAAGCACTGCCCATCACTACTGTCATTTTCATACTGCCAAGATGAGGGTTTTTTTTGGGGGGGAGGGGGGAGGAGTGGGGGGCAAAGGATTCACCATTGCCTCTGAGTGAGCCCTTGTTTCCTTACTCCTCCTACCAGCTCAGAGTCCTGGGGACTCAGTGACGTGCTGCCCAGGGAAGGGAACACACCTCCTGCAGCCACAGGCTTTCTACAGGCACTTTCAGCAGCAGCCAGCTCTTCCTCCTGTAACATAGGAGAGCTGAAGTGCCACCCTGTGCCCTCTCCAACAACATTTTACACCAATTCCCTTTCACAAATCCATAACAGCAGCCAAATTTTACATGGCTCCAGGCTGCCAAGACTTCTTGCATTGTCTACAGGTGAGATCAGCTCACCCAATACATTCTAGCATGCTTAGGAAAGGTCACAGTCCAGAAGAAAACTCAAAAGAACTCAAGTTGAAGACAGACTGCTACTCAGTCTGCAGTCAAATGGGAACATTTTGACCCAGTTAAAAATAAGTTCACCCAGATTTTTGGGGGATGAGGGAGGAACCCAACAACAACAACAAAATGATGTTTCTTTTCTTTTAAGTGCAAGAATTCACCGCAGATGAAAGGAACCTTCGGGAAACACGTTCCCAGGAGATCAAAGATGCCCTTGGCACCAACGCCTGTTACAGGCAACAGGCCCTCCCCACTGACTATGGAGTCAACCTCTAGCAGAGTGGGCAAATATTTTTTGAACAGGTAAAATATTTGCTGAAAACTTATTTCCATCAACCCCAAGCTTAGCAAACCAAACTCCCCAAAACAAAATACTATGAGAATTAGGGAAAATATTCACTAACTGCAGGTACAATTAGCTCTTCCTTTTCCTTCCAATCAGCTATTACCTATCAGGTCAGTCACCAAGATACTCAGTTGGAGGCCCAGACAAAGTTGCGGTACACTGGAGTAACAGTAGGCTGCACACCAGCCAAGCTGTGGTCGCTCTCCATGTGCAAGCTCTTCCCTTGCAGCAATGTGAGGCAATTTGATTTAGCAATGAAAGAGTTCAGCTAAATTGCATTACCTTGCATTTGCCACAGGCTAAGACCACACACACACGGACAACAACCACAGCCCATCCAACAGCCACTAATTTGACTGGGTGCCTGGCTTCTGGAATACTGCAAACTGGTTCAAATTCCCATTTTGCTCAACTCCAAGCCAAGATTTGAACGAAGGACTCTTCCTTTCCCAGAAGGTGTCCTATCATGCTAGTGTGTATCCCAAGGCAAGATATCTTCAGTCTCAGAGACTGAAGCTATGAAGCTGCTTGGTGGAAAGAGGGGGGAAAAAAGAAGGGGGGGGGGGACAAAAAAAAAAAAAATCAAGCTCCAGCTACTACTATAATAAATATTGAAATCTCTCAGAGCAGAACAGCTCCAATATACCAGACCTCTATTTCTGTAAGGGAAAAGCACAGATCTACCCAGTCTGAGCAAACTGGGAAGTTTTCCCTACTCCCTCCCAGTCCTGGGCTGAATCTCCTACCATCCTTCCTACTTCAGAAGCAGACTAGTACATGTAAACCCAAGGACTACAGCTGCAGGATGGTACAGCTAACTTGCAGGATTTGGACTGTGGTTACTGACAAACAGCAGTTCAGCATCCCTTCTTCCCCATCCATTCAAAAGAAAGGAGAACTAGAACTTTATATTATGCAGGCAATTAAAAAAAATAAAAGGAAAAAGCCAGACACTGTATCATTCTGTTCTGCAGGAGAACCACTCTCCCAAGGCAATCTGAAATAAACACACACAAACTGCTTTCTATCAAAGAGTGACCCATTCACTTCCAAGAAATACCCTTCACAGAGCATGTCTTCACATGCCCTTCTCTTTGACCACCCCAGGAACCTCTGCCTTTCAGGCTCACCCGAGAGCCCAACCCTAAAGGCAAGTTCCTGCAGAAACGGTAGAGGATTTTGTTTTGTATTGGTGTTCAGCATTTAATCTGTTGAGATTAACTGCACAGTTAATCACAGAAGCGAGGCTGATATGCCTTGTACATACATTCCTCTGTAAATCCTACTTTCCTCACTGCCAATAGCTCTTTTTTTTTTTTTTTTTTGCATTCCTCCATCACAACCCCTGCTCTCATGCTCCTTTCCCTTTACACACACATAGCCAAATGGAAACTGGAAGGTACTTGTAGGAATTCAGCAGTAGAAAAGCAAAGTTGCACAGTTTAAGATTTTTGTCTAGAAAACAGCCATGGACACAATAAAAAAAATCTAACCACTTATGCATGCTATCTTGCATTTTTCACTAATCAAACTTTTTTTTAAATTAACCTTTTTTTAACATAAAAAGAGAGATTTTTCCAGTGATCACAAACATTGCAGAGGAAATCATTTCCTTTTAAAAGTTATCCCTGATGATACCTAAAGCCACCCATTGAAAAAAAATATAAGAATCAGAGGAGAGTCCACTGAGCACGGCTCTGAAGTGTATATGAGATTGATGAGCACAGCATAATCAACCATGCTAGAACAAATACAAAGCATAAGAAAATCTATTCCCTCTCCCATAACGCATGTATGCGTGCGAGTGTGTGCATGTCTATAGATATATCTAGACATACACACAAACACACTCAAAATAATCAATTTCTCAAAGCCACACAGGAAATCATTGTC